ACATACCACATGCACATTCAGCACACACACTCACACATATTCAGCACACACACATGCACAATCAACACATTAAACATCACTAATTACTCATCAAATAAACTTAGGAACAAATACTCCTTTTCAATTCTCATTAAATGAACTTATTACCACTTCTAGGTAATAATCCATTTCAATCAATTCCTCACAGCCATTAAACACATCCAGCAGCAAATCCAAGTATAAAAATACCAAAACTCATCATTCATAAGCATTAAATCAAAACATGAACACTTAAGGCACAAAACATATGTAAAAGACATGCAATTAACCAAATTTTGAAATAATAGCAATTTAATTCCAAAAATTCTCAAATTAAATCCTAGAACTCCTAACTGACTCAAATTTCAGATTCTGAAATTATTTTAAAGTTTTACAAAGTTTCGAATTTTTTGAAATAAAAACTAGGAAAATCCCTTTTTCAATTTAAAAATCCAAAACTCTAACATAACTCTAATTAATTTAAAAACTTGTTTAATAAAACTTTATCCTATCTAATACTTGCTGAAAAACAGATCCAAATTTTGAAAATGAGAGATTTTTCAGAAATTGCAGTTTTGACCCAAAAGTTTCGAAATTTATACATGCAACCACACTAGAAGTTCAATTTCTACTTTTTCATGAAAACCCCTAACAAATCTGAAATTCCACTTTACTAAATGCAGAAAATGAAGTTTAAAAGTTACTTTATGCAGAAATTTCGGAAATTACACAATTTACCCCAAAATCCCTAGATCTACACATGCAAGCCTACTAGAATTTCAAAATCAACTTTTTCTTACAAGAATTCTTTAAATCCGAAATTTTTTGTTCAATAAATGCTGGAAAACAGTTTTGAAAACATTTTTCGGACAGACTTTACAAAAACTACAGATTTGGCCCGAACTTTCGAAGATCTACACATGCAACCACAAAAAGTTAAAAATTCATTTTTCTTAAAAATCCCTTTTTGAAATCTGAAATTTTTAATGCTTTTGGCCAATAAAAGATGTATCTAACCACTATCAACATAGATGATGCATGCAAGAACAAGAAATTAACAAGAAACACTTAGTTTCCATTTTTTTCAAAAACCCCTAAATTTTCGAAATCACTCCCAATCTTTTAGAAATTTTATGAAAATCATTTCAATACTATTGATGCCCTTTAATTGCAGCAAGAAATCGGAATTTCTTACCTTAAAATCGAAGAAAGAAAATAACCGAAAGGGAGGAAAGCTTTCAAGCACCGAAGTTCAACCAAGCCACCTTGATTGTGAAGGAAATGGTGTGAGCTTCAAGGAGGGAGGAGTTGTGATCTCCCGAAAGAAGGCAAGTGGTCTTGATGGTGTTCTTGGAGTAGTCCAAGGCAAGAGTTAAATAAGGAACTCTCATTTTAATTTATGTTGGGAATTCTTTGAAAATGTGAGGTGAGGTGGAGAGAGGAGGGCCGATGATGGTGATGAGGGCTTCGGTGGAAGGAGAAGAGGAAGACAAGTAGGGTGTTGGAAGAAGAAAGATGAAGGTGTCTCTTCAACTTACAAGGAGAATGTTGAGTGTAGGTTTAGCTAAAATGATTAGGGGTTGCCAAGTGTAAATGCATGCTTATTACTAATTATTTTATTAATATAATGACAACTTGCATAAACACTACACACACACACACCATCCGAACACACACACACATTTTCGGATATATATATATATATATTCAAATGTATAATACAAACATTAGTATATATGTATGTATACGTAGGCATGCATGTATGTACGTGTATGTATGTACGTATACATGTACATATATATATTCCACATAATATTCAAATAATTTATCAAATAAATACAATACGCAATTATTCACATAAACCACGTAATTCACGAAATTCCATAGTATTTCAATTTACGGGAATTTAAATCATATAATTCACACATATAATAGCGCATATAATTATTCACGTAAGTAACATAATTAAATTCACGTAATGCATATAATCACGTAATAATATTTCCTAAGGGTTTTCGAGTTAGGAATATTAATCTCGGGTTTTAGGGTTTTCGGGTTTTGGAAAGGTGGGGTGTTACAGGCATCGGTATCAGTATCAGTTTATATATGTTTCAGTATTCGTATTCCTTTCAATATCAGTATTAGTATCAATATTAGTATCAATATCAGTATCAACATTTGTATCAATATCAGTATCAGTATGAGTATCAATATCAGTATCAATATTAATATCAATATCATTATCGATATTAGTATCACTATTATTATCAGTATTAGTATCAGTATCAATATTAGTTTAAGTATTAGTATGAGTATCAATATGATTGTGAGTATCAGTATGAGTATGAGTATCAATATTAGTATGAGTATCAGTATTAGTATGAATATGAGTATAAGTATCAATATTAGTATTAGTATTACTAGGAGTATCAGTATGAGTATCGGTATTAATATCAGTATCAATATGAGTATTAATTTTAGTATTAGTATTAATATTAGTATTAGTATTAATATTAATATTGCTATGAATATCAGTATTAGTGTCAATATCAGTATCAGTATTAATATCAGTATTAATATAATATTTCTATAAGTATCAATATGAGTATAAGTATTAGTATCAGTATTAGAATTAATTATTATTGTTATTAGTATCAGTATCAGTCTTAGTATTAGTATTAGTATTACTATTAGTATTAATATTAGTATCAATATCACTATTAGTATCACTATAAGTATCAATATTATTATAAGTATTAGTATCAGTATTACTCTTATTCTTAGTATTAGTATTAATATTAGTATTAGTATTAGTATTAGTATTAGTATCAATATAACTATCTTTATCAATGTAAGTATCAATATTATTATCAGTATTCAATATTAGTACTATTCTTCGTATTAGTATTCGTATCAATATGAATATTAGTATTAGTATTAGTATTAGTATTAGTATTAGTATTAATATTGGTATGAGTATGAGTATTAGGATTAGTATCAGTATTATTGCTAATATCAATATTAGTATTAATATTAGTATTAGTATCGGTATTAGTATTAGTATTAGTATTAGTATTAGTATTAGTATTAGTATTAGTATTAGTATTAGTATTAGTACCAATATTAGTATTAATATCAGTATTAGTATTAGTATTAATATTAGTATTAGTATCAGTATTACTATTGGTATCAATATTAGTATTAATATTAGTATTAGTATCAGTATTATTATTAGTATCAATATTAGTATTAATATTAGTATTAGTATCGGTATTAGTATTAGTATTAGTATTAGTATTAATATTAATATTAGTACCAATATCTTATATATAAAAGAAAGAAACGTTGGGCAACCCTAAAAAACCCTTATGGTATTTCTGTAATTATTTATTTTTAATATTTTTTCTCTACTAATTTCTAACTATAATTTTTAACAATTATAGAAATTAAAACTAACCCGTAAAGAATCCTACCTTATTGCTACTTATGTCATCTTATATATAAAATAAAGAAACGCAGGGCAACCCTAAAAAACCCTAATGGTATTTCTGTAATTATTTATTTTTAATATTTTTTCTCTACTAATTTCTAACTCTAATTTTTAACAATTATCAAAATTAAAACTAACGTGTCAAGAATTATACCTTATTGCTACTTATGTCATCTTATATATAAAAGAAAGAAACATTGGGCAACCCTAAAAAACCCTAATGATATTTCTGTAATTATTTACTTTTAATATTTTTTATCTACTAATTTATAACTATAATTTTTCACAATTATCAAAATTAAAACTAACCCCTAAAGAATCCTATCTTGTTGCTACTTATGTAATTATTTATTTTTAATATTTTTTTGTACTAATTTTTTAACTATAATTTTCAACAATTATTGATCTCCTAATTTTCATCAATATATCTCAAATCATAAGAGATAAAGCTAGAAATTCAATATGAATAATACTACAGTATTAAATTTTATTATATTAGTATACTATATTTTCTTATTATATATTAAATTGATTATTTTTTTAACTATTTAAATAATATCCCCTGCATCGCACGGGGGGAAAAATGCAAGTACATTTATTAAAATAATATCAAAATATATTATTTAATTTTTTTAGAGTCTACATCTCATCTATAGTTAAAGTAGGAAAATTAATTTGAATGAGTTATATTCTATTTTTTTCAAAATAAATATTATATTTATTTAATTTTAATTAGTCATCATAAGGCATATTTGTATTTTTTTAATCGAATTTCTCTCAGATCACCGATTTTAATAACATAAGTTACCTTATATTAGACGTGCATTTGTTTATATTTAATTCAGTGAATTCTTTATACTTTCAAATTTTATTATATTTAAATTTGTGAATAGTAGAGATTTTTAATATTAATAACATTGAATATGATAATTGATATAGTTATAACCTTTCATTTTACTGTATGAAAATGTTGTAAAGCACCAATTGAATTTCGATTTAATAGCTCAAGATACAACTTTTATAATTTGACTTCATAAATTCTAAAATACATATTATTGTCATCTAACAAATTAAGTTAATTGGGTTGAACAGAGAATAGTTAACGAGTTTAATTTGTATAAACGGTTAGGGTAGTTATTTGTGAATAATTAGTTCGAGGTGTCGAATCATAGTTTGGGGATCGGATCGCATCGCATCCGATAGGACACACTTCGGTTAAGCTTTCGATCAGCCAAAAAGAACTGACCGAAATCACAATTTTGATGATTGAAACATGCACATTTGAACTCTCGGCCAAAAGCGCAAACTCGAAGGGAAAACAAAACGCAACGAGCAAACAGATCCTCCATTCGAAAAATGTCACTGAAAACAACTTTAAATTTTTTAAGGCATTGTAATAATAAATAAATAAATAAATAAATAAATAAATAAATAAATAAATAAATAAATAAATGTATATGTTTTTTTTTTTCTAAAACACATTTGGCAACAACTATTTGCTTATCTTGTCTACTGCTGCATTCAAATCAAAACCACAAATGTAAATAAAATCGAAGAAATACAGAATTTTCAGAGAGTGTTTATGAATCTCTCTTCTCTCAATATTCAGTATCCACATCGAGTGGATATAGGTCACCGGCAGTGGATGCTGAGGAACCAGTCCATCGTATATCAATTGATGTACTCTGCCCTTGACCATTATAGTCATTAAGGTCTGTTTTGCCGTTTCCTCGGTAGGATTTGTCCTGTCAGTCGAGGTGCTCGTGTATGAAATGAATTCTCCAACACCAGCTTTTCCTTCTAGAATGCTTACAACTGTCGAAATACTTGGCCTTTCTGTGGCTACAATATTTGTGCAATGGACCGCCACATTTATAGCCGACGTAACCTCTTTTTTCTTGAACTTCAATTCCAATCTTGGGTCCACTAGATCCATCATTTTTCCAGTCTCATTCAACGAGTTTGCCTAGAAAAAAAAAAGGAAAAAGGAGTTTTCGAAGTTCTTGTGTGAACATAGCATGCGTTAAGATTATCATAGTGACTCGTAGAAACAACAGTAGCAGAAGACGAATGTCAATACGTGAAACTGTGTTAACTAAATATATCCATTCAAGAAGATCGAAGCTTGGACCCTACTGCTAGAGTTGCTCTTTCCACTGATAAGTTCCAAAAGAACAACCCCAAAGCTGTATACATCTGCTTTGTCTGTCAAATGGCCTCACATCGCATATTCTGGCGCCATATATCCATTAGGAAATCAAATATCAGGTCAGTAGATATTCTATGAAATCAATGGCTCAATCTCTGGTCAAATAAATGAATGATTGATTACTCACTAAGTACCAGCAACACGTGTGCTTATATGGGTGATATCCTCTTCATTGAGCTTGGCAAGTCCAAAATCAGATATTTTAGCCATAAGATCTTTATCAAGAAGCACATTTGTAGCCTTGATATCACGATGCACAATTTTAAGTCTTGATTCTTCCTGCAGATAAGCCAAGCCTCTGGCTATACCAATGCAGATCTTGTGCCTCGTTGGCCAATCCAAATGAATTTGGTGTTCTTCTTTACCTGCAAATATTTATCTTCATCCATAAGTTTAAACTTTAAAGAGAAGAAAAAAAATAATAACATGGATCGGTGAACATAAGTTCGTGTATCTCGTTTTCCAACCACTGGAAGAAAAAACAACAAAGATAGGATTGTGGGAAATTTACCAAATAATGCACGTGCAAAGCTATTATTTTCCAAGTACTCGTAGACAAGCAACAACTGGTTGCCTTCAATGCAACAACCATGCAGCTTAACAAGATGAGGGTGTTGCAGAGCAGAAATCATGCCAATTTCATTGACAAACTAACGGTTCCCTTGCTTTGATTTGGCAGAAAGCTGCTTTACAGCTATGATGGTGCCATGTGACATGAAACCCTTCAAATCAGAGGTGGCAGAAAAACGGAATGAGCTGAATGGCAACATTAAGATAATTAAGTTACTAGAAGTATTTATTGTTTAGACTGCTACCTTGAATACAGGACCGAAACCACCTTCTCCAATCTTATTAGCATGATAAAAATTGTTTGTGGTGGTTTTAATTTGCTTTAGCGTAAATGATCCAGTGTGAAGGTCTACACCTTTTAGTTCTGAGAAAAACATGTCAAACAACAATTTAGATAACTGCAAACACTTTCCAATCACATAGTTCGTTTTAGATGGCATTTATTGCGCTCTCTCAAATATTGCACGAATTTGCACACATGAAAATAAGATACATGTACATGTTGAAATTTAAGGACTATATGATTGAGCCAGCAATTTTAGTACCATGATCCAATGTGTCTTGCGTCTAAAACAACCCTTCCACCAAAGAATACCCAGAACTAGCATGACTATTAGCCAGGATGTAAAAAGAACTGCTGCTACTATGCCAGCTATAGCCCCTGCAGATATGCTACTTCCCTTTTCTGATGGTGGCGTAAAATCAGAGAGGAAGAGTGATCCAGCCCGGGATCGCTTGATGGATCCAATAAGGACCAAAGGCCCAAACAAGGTCAAAAGGCACCGTTTAAGCCCATTAATAGAAGAGGGCCCATCAAACTGGTACCGGTTGTGCGAGAGGAACTAGGCCACGGATCGCGAGTAACCCGCGAGCGAGAGGCCTCTCGCTGCCTCACTCTCTCGCCTAGCAGCTTCACCCTCCCGCCTGCGAGGCTTCGCATCTCTCGCCAAGCTGCTCGCCCACGACCGGAGATGATCATTGCTGTACATGGGGTATTTAATGCACGTCCAATCCACTGACAAGCGCAGGGAATGTCTTTTCGGCCCCTACTTTTTGCCCCCGCACCCGCCAATGAAATGACAGATTAAACTGCATTGAAGGTAATTTGGGGTCCGGATGCTTAATTACCGCGATGGGACAGGTAAATTAAATTGAAGAGTATTTGACGTCCGTCCCTTTTTTCCAATATAAATAGGGGCAGTAAGTACAGGTAAAAGGGACGACATATATAATCATATACCTAAATTACGTACATAAACATAATATCTTCTTGAGGAAGTTACTGACTTGGCCGTCGGAGTGCTAACTCCGGCCTAAGTCCGGTTCTTTTCCTTCTTGTAGGTTTACCGTGGTCTCTGGTCCCAGTTCAAGCCTATTAAACTCTTTAAACCAGCCCACCACGAATCCAGTCGGATCAAAGAGAGAGAGAGATAAATCAAATATACTGTCAAAATAATGCATAATTTCCTTTCTCGGTTATAGTAGAGATGTGTCGGACAACTATCTCTTGTGTGTTCAAGTTACTAAATTCCAACTTCCGACTTACCAGGATCAACACATATGGCTGAAATGAGAGGACCATATACGCCTCTAACAGGAATACCATTTGTCCCTTTCCCAGCCCAATAGAAGCAGATATCCAAAGTATTATCAGCAACAACTGCAGTGAAGTTTCTTTTAATTCCCTTGTTAACTCCACGTGCTTCTTTTTCATTGTTGAAATCCTCAGCACCAGCTTTTCCTGAAATTATTTTTTTCCAGAAACCATGAGGCACTTCTTAAAGTGAAAAACTACAAATACAAATACAAAACAAATAACCACTAACATCATATGACAACAAAACTCAACTGATTCATTCAACATAAGTTCTCGTCATTTAAAAGAGAACCCTTTCAAACATACTCGTTAGAAAAAAGCTTATTATACAGTTACCTGAATGAACACATCAAAAAAACGCCTCCCAAGGCTACTATATTTTTTATCATCAGTAAACATGATCTCCGCAAAGTGAAGGTTTACTGTGTAGTTCCCGTTTATCAAACAAAATCCATAATACGTTAATGAGAGTGGGAAAGGCGTGCATCCATGTACAACTGGGAATTCGGCCCTGAGCTGTTTGCCCAGATGAACGAGTCCGTAGGGCGGTCATCATCCAAGAAGTGGCCCGTGCTGCTAAATCCCCAGTTTGGCTTACTTGCGAAGAAATTTGTAGGCCCACCAGAATTTCCATCATCTTCGTAGGTAGATCCTTTATCATCAGCTACTTGTCTTCCACCACAGTTAATACGGAGAGAGTAATACTCTGTGACAAAAGCATGGAACGAATTCTCAATAATTACATCCACTGCCAAAGAGAATGAATATTTTGATAAGTAAGCTTCATATAACAGAAAATGAGATGTACAACGGAGATTTTGTGAACTTTTAAGTCATAAACTTAAGAAGGATTTTTTTTGGAGCTTGCAAACAAGTTTCTGAAATAATTGGTGAAAATTGCTCAGATGAGGAAATTCAAAAACAATATCGACATGATGATAAGTGTAAGTAATCTCACAAGTTGCGTGGCTGACAATTTGCGGCTTCATATGTGAGGTTTTTATAAGACATGTCACTGCATACAAATTGAATAGATTTAAACTTCACTGGATTTGATGATGCAATATTTCTACATTAAGACGATAGAGCTAGAGGCAATTATTGACTCGATTTATGTCTAAATAAGAGAAGCAAAAATAAGAGGGAGGAAGCAATACATTGCGTCGCCGTCTTACAACATCCAATCCGGCAGCGGCCCAGTTAGGGAGTTCCCAGTTAGATACCTGGAAAAGAACATGCCGAGTTAGCAATCTCAACATTTTCCTTGAACGCAAAAACTTGTCACAGATAAACTAGATGATGACATTTTATACAAAAATATCCAATCTCATGTGTGAATGCTAACTTTGAACAGTGTTATCAAGTTTGAAAGAATTGGATTCTATATTATTATTATTTTTAATCTTATGTTTCACTTTCCCTATTTCCACAGTATAGTACATAAATACTAGACAAGGATAAACGTTTCTAGTAACAAGGCTTTCAATGCTGTCAGTCTTCTAGTATAACTTGGTAACTCCCCGTTGAGATTGCAACTCCTCAATATCCTACATAACAATATTCATAGAGTCATACAAAAGCAAAGTGATACGAAAAACCAACACCGGAGACAATATGTCCCAAAAATGTTGTACGGGAATCTCGGAGGAAACTTGAAAATAATAAAAATATAGGAGTATATTTATATACATGTTATTAAAAATATATAAGTTTTTATTAATTTATATATAAATTACTTTTATATATTTCCGTACAAACATTTCACAATATATTTTATTATCAACTATCAATTTGCGATTGATTAATAAATCATGTAAATAATTATCGAATTAACAAAAATATTAGAAATTTTTTTATTCAAACATGTCTCTAAGTTTTTAGAAATTGCAAAATGGTACATAAGTTGTCCGGCAGGTGTTCTCAAGTATCGAATACAAAACGTATCTAAAATGCGGAAATATTAAAAAGTTGAAGTTTTCGTGCTACGTACGTGCTACGTACGTGCAATCTTTCTATAAGTTGATCTAATTTCATAACCCGTAATTGATCTAATTTTTATAAATCTATGTAGTTGATTTCCTTCTAAATTTTGTCAAAGTATTTTGCATTTTCCATTGACTTTCTACTCATTTGTTTATTTTGATGAAGTTATCGTGATTTGTGATGTGTATTTATATTTGATTATTATCATATGTTTTAAAACATTTATAAAAATCGAAGGTGATTTTTGGCAATTATAAAAAGCACAATTAGTTTTTCTTCTTTTTTTTTAGCAACAAAGTTATTACGTGTATGGTTAGGAAAATCTTACAATTTACAATTTAGATCTTGCGATTCGATCCGATTGCTACCTAGATGATAGATCGATTTAAATCTTTGATTAAATCTTAAATGTCAAAAAAATCGATTAAATCTTACAATTTTTACGATTTAAGAAAACTTAAGTTTACTATATGTTTTATGATAAAATTCAATTAAAAAGATATTAGACTTTAACTACAAAAAGTTAATTTTACTAATTTAATATTATATACGTAATTTCCAAAATTTCCATGATGATTGTTTTCGTCTTACATCGACCCCCTTACGATATGATTTTTCATGGATTTTTTTTATTACGTGGAATATTCCCCGAAAAATGCAGATTCTACCATGCACACGATATTTGTTTATGGTACTTTTTAAAGACAAAAATTACCCTGAGGGGGACTTTACACGAAATATTTATTCTTTTTAAATAACATCTTCACAATTTTTTAGCATTACTATTACCTCCCCTAAGGGTAAATTTTGTATTTAAAATGTAAGATAAAAGAAATGCCATTTCTGCAAGGGTGGAATCCACAATTTTTGGGATATTACATGGAATAAAAAAGATTCCGTAAAAAAATCACACTATAAGGTGGTCGTGTAAGACATAAACAAACATTTGGGGGATTTTGCTAATTCTCGATAAGTGGGGGTGATTTCCGTAATTTAACCTAAGTTCATGAGGATTTTCGTAATGTATCCTATTAACAACGATTATCGTTATTTTCACGTCTTAATGTTTGCTTATACCCTTACATTATTTTAAATAATTTCAATGTCAGTTTAATAATATAATTAAATATTAATTTCTAATATATTGAATGTGTTTCTTGATGTTTCAGGTACCACACATAAGGAATTTGATATAAAAGTTGCGAGATTGAATAATAAAATTTTTGATACAAAATAATAGATAATTGCAAAAACATTGATGCAAATCATAATTAGGATTGTGATTAGTATTAAAATTAGAATTAGGATTGTAATTAATATTCTTTGAATTAGTAATAGTATTAATACTTGGATTAGAATTTGGACTAATATAGTATTATAATTAATATTAGGATTATGATTATGATTAATATTAGTATTATAATTATAACTAAGATTATATTATTGATTCGTACTACAATTAGTGACATGTATTAGTATTATGATTATGATTCGCATTAGGATTAGGATTATGGTTAGAATTATAATTATAATTAACATTAGCAAAGCATTAGTATTATTAGTAGTAAAATTATTAGGATTATAATTAATGTTTGAAATAGGTTTATGATTAGAATTATGATTATGATTAGAATTATGATTAGTGTTATGAATAGGATTAGGAATAGGATAAGGATTTGGATAATATTAGTATTACAATTATAATCAGCATAAGCATATACGAGATTAATATTAACATTAAAATTAGTATTAGCATTAGAATATGTACATTAGCATTAACATTAACAATATTAACATATTATTATTAAAAAAGTATTAATATTAGTATTAGTATTAGTATTAATATTAGGATTAGTAATAGTATTAGTATGAATATTAGTATTAATATTAGTGTTAATATTAGTATTAGTATTAGTATTAGTATTAGTATTAGTATTAGTATTAGTATTAGTATTAGTATTAATATTAATATTAATATTAATCTAAATATTAGTATCAATATCAATATCAGTATCAGTATCATTATCGGTATAGGCATTAGTATCGGCATCAGTATCGGTATCGGCATCGGTATCGGTATCGGTATCGCTATCAGTATCAGTATCAATATTAGTATCATTATCAGTATCATTATCAGTATCAGTTTATGTTTCAGTGTTCGTATTCGTATCAATATCAGTATTAGTATCAATATTAGTATCAATATCAGTATCAGTATCAACATTTGTATCAATATCACTATCATTATGAGTATCAATATCAGTATCAATATCAATATCAATATCAGAATCGATATTAGTATCACTATCATTATCAGTATTAGTATCAATATCAATATTAGTTTCAGTATTAGTATGAGTATCAATATGATTGTGAGTATCAGTATGAGTATGAGTATCAATATTAGTATGAGTATCAGTATTAGTATGAATATGAGTATAAGTATCAATATTAGTATTAGTATTACTAGGAGTATCTGTATGAGTATCGGTATAAGTATCAGTATCAATATCAATATTAGTATTAGTATTAGTATTATTATTAGTATTAGTATTAGTATTAATATTAATATTGCTACGAGTATCAGTATTAGTGTCAATATCAGTATCAGTATTAATATTAGTATTAATATAATATTACTATGAGTATCAATATGAGTATAAGTATTAGTATCAATATCAGAATTATTATTGTTATTAGTATCAGTATTAGTCTTAGTATTAGTATTACTATTAGTATTAATATTAGTATCAATATTACTATTAGTATGACTATAAGTATCAGTATTATTATTAGTATTAGTATTAGTATTAATCTTATTCTTAGTATTAGTATTAATATTAGTATTAGTATTAATATTAGTATTAGTATTAGTATTAGTATCAATATAACTATCTTTATCAATGTAAGTATCAATATTATTATTAGTATTCAATACTAGTATTATTCGTATTAGTATTCGTATCAATATGAATATTAGTATTAGTATTAGTATTATTATTAGTATTAGTATTAATATTGGAATGAGTATGAGTATTAGTATTAGTGATAAGTGTTCATTTTGCATGATTTTCACTTATCAATTCTTCGAGTTTTGGTCTTCGTTCGTCCGAGTTTTCGGCTTTATTTGTACATTTTATGCGTTTCTTGTTTTATTTTTATTTTAGGTAAAGAGAAGCTATTTTTGCCGATTCGAAACGATTTTGGAAGCGAAGCCGAAAATCAAACCAAACACGTGCAAAAGTGCATTATCGCTGATTGTGGCACTGTTTCGTATTTCAAGCATAACGTTTGCATACGACCTCCGATTGAGCTCATTCTAGTAGTCTTAGAAAGCTAACTTCAAGATCTACAACTTTTGTGAAATGCAAAATTGTCAAATTCGGGCTAAAAAATGGTCAATACAGTGTTTGAAGTTGGCGCAGAAGCCCATATCGCGATCCAGCCTTCCTGGATCGCGATCTGGGGGGTTCTTACAGAACGTTTTTTTGATCAGGACCCAGATCGCGATCCAGCCTTCCTGGATCGCGATCTGGGGGGTCTCACAGTACATTTTTTATCAAGAACCAGATCGCGATCCAACATTCCCGTATCGTGATCTGGCAAGGCGGTGCACAGTTTTTTAGGCAAGATATTTGTGTTTTGCAAGCCCCATATAAATAGAACAAGCTTCATCTCCAATTGGACAGCTAACACTTTCGGCTTCGACTTTTGCTTTGGTTTTCTCTTCGGTTTTCGCCAGTTCTTCGCGGGAAGCTTCGACGA